AAGGGGATAAATAGAATAAATAGGAATAAATAAAAAATAAATAAAAAAAATAAAAAAAAGGTGAGGGTGAACAGACGTTAACGACACGACACTGACACAAAGACACACTGGGCTTAAATACACTGAGGGAGTCATCAAGGAATTAGAGACAGAAGGGGGACACAGCTGGGAGAAATAAGACCTAACGAGAGCAAAGCCGGAACACTGACATCAGACAGGAACAACAACCTTCAAAGTAAAACAGGAAACAAAACACACTTTACTAAGACACGGACTAGACAGAGAGAGACAGACTCGACACTGACCAAAGTCTACTAAATAATAATCACAATCACAACAGTATCACTGATAAATCAAATCATAAATCATAATCTAGAAAAACACCAAAGCATGAAAAACAGAGAGCTGGGTCAACATGACCCAGAACCGTGACAGTCTCAGTGCACATGAGACAGAGGCTCAGACATGACTGAGCTGAGGGAGAGACAGATACGAGCAGAGCAGAGAAACAATACACAAGATCTCAAACCTCATTCCAGAAATAACTAGCAGTTCCACACAAACCCGGGACAGCGACAGTCTGTGAGGGACCCGCAACCCAAACCAGGTACAAAAAGTAGGACTGTAGAAAATGTTCATCAAGGGTTGCAGTTTCTCCGGGTTTAGATGGATTCTGATGGCCCCATTTCCCAGGTGGTGCAGCACCTGGTGGTGCAGATGCTCCTCAGAGACAGAAAGGCCTCGGAGGTCTGCAGCCCAGTAAGAGCAGAACCACCAGAAAACCCAGATCTGGTCTCACAGCAGTCTCAGCCTTCAGACGCTGTTTGCTCTTGTTGTGGTCACCGCGCCCTCTAGTGGGCGCTAACAACACCTCACTCAGTTGGTCTGTTTTATTAAAATTCTCCAAAATGCTTTAGTGTTGACCTTTGATCGTGTTTTCTGGCGTCGCGAGGAGCCCAGCCGGCAGCAGACAGGTGACTGCCTGCGTTCTGATAACCTGAGAGTCAACAGTGTTAGGTAAGACCCAAAAACCCCTGCTGAGTAAACTCACCTTTGTTACACACTCAGCTCTGCATACAAACAAACAGGAGCTTCCACCTCGGTTGTGTTTCACTGAGGACCCCCAGCCGTTTGCCAATAGCCGAGTAAATGAATAACTAATCAAATCCAGCTGTGTCGCTCAGTTCTCTGCAGAGCTCAGTGTGCTTCTTACCTTCAGGATGAAGGTGTGTGTCCTCCTCGCGTGTGTGTGGCTTCTCTGCTGGAGGTCGGAGGCTCAGTCCAGCTCGTAAGTCTGTTTGAACTTTATTACTTGTTAATGAATGTTTTATTACCCTGCAGCCTCCCATTTACTGCCGCAGCTGTTTTGGGCTTAAACAGCTGTGTTCATGTTCAGCTGCAGGGTGTGCAGAAGAAACAAAAGGTCAGAACAACTTATTTGATGCCCAAGCACAAAGAAGCTTGTAGCGTCCTGCATTTCCTCAATCAGGCCGGCCGTGTCAAACAGCAGAGAGTCAGCGTGGTCCTCGTTAGTCCTGTTTACCGTCCATCAGGTCACCAGTGGATAAGTGACGGTTAAGGTTAGGTTGAATTTCCCCACATGCTAAACATGCCCAGCTTTTCAAACTAGAAGATTTTACCTCTCCAACCAAATCTCATAGATCCATTTTGACCTTCCAGATTTCCGGCACGCCAAACAGGTGAAAATTCCATATAAATGTGATCCTATTCCAAACAGGTCGGTGGAAACCTGTGGGTGTTAAGAGGTTAAGAACCACAGAATCAATAACCTCTATAGACAGGGACAAGGTTTTTGTGCAAGAAGCTTTTGTTGACCAATCACATTTGACCGGGTGAGTCACACACCTCCAGGAGAGCGTTAACCAACCCAAACGCCCCCCTGCTCAACGGTCATGTTTGCCAAGGCTTCAGCAGGTTCCAGTCCAGGTGCAGAGCAGTCGGGGCTGTTTTTGCAACCAGCATTTTAAATTTGCAGCTGCAACAAAGTTTGTAGTCTTTTGATAAAAAGAGCTGCAAGATAACGTTGTTGTGAGTTGGCACTACGTGATAAACTGAAATCTTCACACCGAGTTCTGAGTTTCCAGCAGCCTGAAATAAACCAAAATTACATCCAGTTGACTTTTAAGACCCCGAAATAAGAAGGTGGAAAAAACTACTAAAGGTTTGTTTCACCCTTTAAAGACACCTTTGAACTCTTTGGGTACTTCCTGGAGATTGAGAGCATTGGACTTGTGGGGATGTGTGTGGGGGAAACAGCTCGTAGCTTGCATGGAGTGTGAGTCTGTGAAGGTTCTCAGTCATCCAGGTCATCGTAGTCCAAGGAGCTCGGAAAGAAAAGGGTCTGGACTTCTTTAAGCTGCTTGACGACGCTTCATCTAAGAAGCTTCTTCAGGTATAAGGTTAAATGGTGGAGAGTCCCAGATTAGACTATCCTCTCTACATAATCGCACGAGCCAAGGAGTGATTATGGAGGTCTCCGTCTTCTAAAGAGAAGACAGATGGTTTGAAAGAGGAGTGAAAGAAGCATCTATGTCCACTGTGAACGGCCATCTTTGAACAGAGGCGGGGCTTATGACCCCAACTGTCTGCCTATAATCCAGACACCTTAACGCCCACATCCAGGGCCATCTGACCTCAGTTAGTCACATGACAGGGTGGGGCTAGGTTTCACAATGAGCTCACCCGAAACCCTGGCTGATTGTGACCCACACCTGTTTTCACACCTTGGCTCGTGTGATTAGGTGGAGGATCATCAGGGGGTCCTTTGTCCCTCTTTGGGGGGACTCTCCGCCATTTGACCCTAGAACTGAAGAAGCTTCTTGGATGAGAGGTGAAACGTCTTCAAGCAACTTACAGAAGTCCAGACACTCTTCTTTCCAAGCTACTTAGACCATGGAGCGCTAGCTTTGAGTTGTTTCTGACTCATTGGAATAACAGCAGAATATTCACTGAGCATAAATATGCTTTTTAAAAATGTAATTCCTTAAATTTAAATTTGATACGAGTCTGGACAAACTTCACAGACTGTATGTGCTGATGATATGTGAAAGTATCAACAGCATAAGCCGCTCTAGACGAACGTGACAAACTGATAACAACCTAAATATGCATCACTTTAAAACGTCTCCTCTCTCAGGTATCTGATAACGGCACCTCTATCGCTCCGCCTGGACGCCGTGGAGACCGTGGTGGTGCAGCTGTTTGGTTTTACAGGTGAAGTCACCGTCTACCTGTTCCTGAAGACGTCAATGGCTCCGAATCACCGGGTTCTGGCTCGGGAGGTCGTGACCCTCAATGCACAAAATAACCACCAGGCTGACGCCAAAGTCCGGGTGAGAAAAGATGCTAACAGGCTAACACCTGCAGTTTAACTGAAGGCATCTGAAATACTTATGATGTCACTTCCTTTTTACAGCTGTACCCAAACCAGCTGGACAAGAGTGCAAATCATGTGATTCTCCATGTGCAGTCAGATGTGATCAATCAGCACCAGTCTGTGCCCATCAGTCGCACCAATGGCTTCCTGTTCATCCAAACCGACAAACCGCTGTACACGCCGCGTCAGAGCGGTGAGAGAAGTTTGTCCCAGTTCAGACTCCAGCCTTCTCCTCATTAATCTTATGTTTTATAACCCATCTTTACACTCAGCTAGTCAGGTGGTTGTCTTGTAGTCATAAAGACAGACTGGTTTGGGGGTCAGAGGATAGAGGGTGTGGCCTGTTGAGGCTGCTGGAGCTCAAACTGCAGAAGAAGTTCATGGTGGTTCTGATAGAAAGGTTCCACAGTACACAGAGCATGCAGTTTGTTGCATAAGGGACGCATAGTCACGGACCAATCACGTTACCCGCGGTGACCCGTGTTCAGCTGACAGTACCAACGATGGGCACGAGAGCTTCAGAACTGGACCACAAATCGCAAATTATACAGCTCCAAATCCCAACAACAGTGTCAAGGTGCTTTATATTGTAAGGTAGACCCTACAATAATACATACAGAGAAAAACCCAACAATCATATGACCCCCTTTGAGCAGGCACTTTGGCGACAGTGGGAAGGAAAAACTTCACCTGGAGGGGCGGGGCCATCTGCTGCGACCAGCTGGGGTGAGAGAAGGAAGACAGGATAAAGACATGCTGTGGAAGAGAGACAGAGGTTAATAACAGATATGATTTAATGCAGAGAGGTCTGTTAATACATAGTGAGTGAGAAAGGTGACTGGAAAGGAAAAAC